TAGTTTTTATAGGTCTCGAGATGAAAAATCGGTACAGACGCTCAGCGCACACACAGACAACCTCTCGTCAATATACGTTTTCTGCATTGCATAGCTGCAAAAAACGCATAAGAAAGCCACTCTCGATCTTTTTTCCAGAGAAGCAGCTTGCAGCTTCAAAGAATTCTTTCAAGGAGACTAGACACATCGTTCTTTTTTTGCATCGATCTGCACGTTACAAACAATTTACAAAACAAAGATGCAATACAAAATTAAAGACTGAATAATTCGCAAAAAAAAAGTCTGAAAATTGGCTACTTCGAAGTTTTAGAATCGAAGCCAGTCATTTGCATACTGAGCCTGCTAGTTATGCTTAAACGATTTATAAGATTACGAATCTACCTTTCCACCTTCGATGGGACAAACATTCCTTCGTTCATTCGTTTCGATGGTAAATTGGTATGGGCATATGGCGAGGAAGCCAAAAGCGCTATCAGATTGATTCTAAGAAAGCAACGGTTGAACTAAGGATAGCCTTGCTAATGGATGTGAGCTAGCACGTGTTACAACTTGGCTTAATTCTGAGTGCCCCCGCTCCAAACAAACAGTGAATTCGGATGAGGGAAGGAAAGGGGAGAGGAGGGTTGGCGTTTGATATCACGCATCGGTCAAAAGGTTTCCGGTTTGCAGGGGCTTTCCGATTATACGACTTGGACAATGACGGCTTCATAACGCGCGATGAGATGTTGTCGATCGTTGGAAGTATTTATAAAATGGTAGGCACAACAGTCAAACTGCCAGAGGAGGAAAATACTCCAGAAAAACGCGTGGATCGGATTTTTAAAATGATGGATAAAGTAAGCGTTGTTCTGAATTGCTCGAACCACTGACAAAGTATTGGCCAGAGCCTAGGACAACTTAGTGGCGCTAAGGAGTGTATACGGATTTACTGGTAAACAAACAAATAAGTAAACAATGGAAATAGGTGAACAAATATCGTTGCAGCGTGTAAAAAGCTAAAAGAAAAATGACTCCATCGCTGATATTGACACTACAAGAAATCTCAGCCATATATCCCAAAAATACCAAAACCGCTTGAGCAATTAGTGTACGTATTCAGGAATGAAAGCCTTCAATTCTTACGTACATCTGTCTATGCCAGTTCCATCGATCTTTAGTTACCCTCAAGTTAGCATTCTCTGCCTATTTTCGATGCGTACGCATTGAATTTTGGGTATCCGCGAGAAAGTAAACGACCTCTTCGAATGCTCGAGTGGTCGTTTACTTTCTTGCGGATACCCAAAATTCACTGATTCGCGATGTCCACCAGTTGTCAGCTAGGCGAACAAAATACCGTCACACAATTACCAAAATGTCCGGACAATTAGTGTGGGGATCCAAAATTAATGAAGAGACTGGAAATAAGTGAAGGTATATGTATATTTGTGTGAATTTGAATTAAAAAGCTGAATAATTTTGATAAAAACTAAGTCGATGCTGCAGAATAACGACGCGCAATTGACGCTCGAGGAATTCAAGGAAGGCGCCAAAGCGGATCCATCAATTGTCCATGCGCTTTCACTCTATGAAGGATTATCCGCTTAACACAATTGTTAACGTTTGAGATGGTTTTCCTGGTTAGCAGAAATCGTTTGTTTTAAAATGTCTTTTTTTT